ATCACTACTTTATTTTTAAATGCAGTCTATTTCTGCCCTTCTCTCTCTGCAGAGATCTATGAGATCTGTGTTTCTGAACTCAGACAGTACAACAGAGAGGACTCAAGCAGCCATCAAAGAACCCCACAGAGATCTAGGGATTTTCCAATAGTGCCTGACTATCCATTTAATTCAGCTTCCTTGTGAAACAGAGATAAGCTTTTACTGTTAGTTACACTAATTTCAGGCCTGCTGACACACATTTTCAATGCTGTAGCAGGCTGGTTCTGTTAAGAGAATGACAGAAGCTTTCTAATACACAGTGTGAGGCACCGATGGTGGCAAAATGCATTCATTTCCACAGAGCAGCTTGAAGACTGCACATTGTCCTTAGGGCACGAGAGCTGGTTAGGAAAGGGTTCTTGTTGCTGAGACTCCTGATGGTGGGATGTCCATCAGCATCACGCTTTGCTTCTTCTCACAAAGCAGATGGAGAACTCCAGCTCTGCTTGCTACCTATCTCTGCAGTCCCTAAGGATGGTAGTAGTGAACATACCTAGCCCTCCAGGTGTGAAACTGTTAGTGAGTTGACCAGAAATCAGTCTCCTTGTGGCCAAGAAACATGGATTAAGGAAACCTTCCAATTCTACACAGAGATCAGACTTTGCTAGAAAACACCAGAAATTAGGTGATGGGAAATAAAAGTTTCCTCCAAACAGCAGAGACATTTAAGCAGGACACAGAACTACAAACACTTTTGTAGATGAATTTGTTGCTTTGAGGGCAAATTCTCCATTTGATGTAAAGTGAAAATTATGTTCTTGGTATCAGTTCATGCTTCAGTGATGAAACTACAAGCAAACTTAGTTGACTATTAAGAATTACATATCAGAATTTAAAAACACATGTTTTGGTTGAAAACATCTGAACGGGCCATATTATTTTCCCCATGGCATGGATGCTCGGCCCTGAACCCCAGCAGAGCTGAACTGCCCATCATGCACCTAATCTATGTGCTTTGTGGTCACCTAATCTTATGAAAACTAGAAAACTGGAACCTACAGAAACATGAGAGCTTTCCCCAGCGCATTTCAATTCAGGGTTGTTTACCCAGTGACTGTTACTGTAGAAATCATTAATTGTTTTACTTAATAATTTACATAGCAAATGAAATCATTCTGTGAAAACGGTAAGTTTGCAAAGACAAGGCTGTGGGCCAAATGCAGCAAAGACATGCAGAACTGAAGTGCTTCAATGATTTTTAAATACTCGAACCTTGAAAGAAGATCAATAGCTTTATGTTACATCCTACGACTGCTGAAACAGCTTACTGGAAGTGCTCAGTGCCTCAGACTGGCAATGCAAAACACCCACTTCACAGAGGCACCAAAGCAAGCACTGAGCACTGAATACGTATGAAATGTCACCCCACTCAAGGGGCTAAATCTTGGTCAGGGCTGCCAGAATCCACCATCCTCAATCCTACTCTGAAAAACAGTTCAACTTAGCGTCTCTTGGTGCAATGTTGTGACTAGTGACAGTACAGAAAGAAATGCAAGACCTAAGCTTAGAAATCTGGGAGGCCTGAGCGGCAGACCTCACTCCAGAGGATGTTTCTGTGTGTGATACAAGAGACATTAATCACAAGACCAGGATACAGAGCTGCCTGGTTCCCTTACAGGTAGGTCTGTATTATGTCACCTCCTGAATTCCCTTCTTCTCATTCTTGTTTTGGATTAGATATTAATGTCAAAGGACTTTCAGTAAAGAAAATCACTTTTTTATCCCAGTCAAGTCAATTTTTTGCAAGAGACAAAACTCAGGCAAAGTGTGGGGGAAAGCCACTCCCTGTAGAGAAACTCCAGACCTGTGGCTGACCTAGACATGATTATGGGAGGAGCTGCAACCTGCTCTTGGCTGTAAAGCTGAAGACTGTTCTTCAGGTGTATGCAACTGCTGCTGTGCAGACACAAGGGATGCCTCAAAGAGCCAGGTAGCCCTGACTGCTGACACATCCCATGAAATACCCAGGACAGCAGCTGAAGGGAGAATTGTAATCAGAGGAGCTGATTTCACAGAAGCAGAGCCCTCAGTAATTACAAATAATACAGAATTAGTTGTGTCTTTTTGCTTCAGAGCATGTAAAAGACATGGTCTGGAGCCAAGAAGGAGAGGATAAATCAGATTTCACTAACAGACCCTTGCATTTTACAAAGCAGCAAAGAGCCCAGTCATGGGACTCACTGTATTTAATGGGTAAAATCAGAGAGACCTGTTTAGCGAGACTTTTACAGCACAGTCAAATAATTATGCTGTGCTCCTGGCAGCCAGAAAGATGTGTTTTAACACGTACTTTGGCCTCTCTCACATGGCATATTGCTGCACATTTGTCTTGACAAGCTCTTTTGCTTTACTGTGTTGTAGCCAAACCGAAGTGTGGTGCAAGCAGGTTCAATCCCAGATCAGCTATTGCAGCGAGGGATTTGGCATTCAACATTTGTAATTGTTCTTTTCTCAGGCCTGCTCTTGCACAGCCTTGAGCACTGACTTCTCAGATTTTAATGCAAGCTGAAAATTCTCAGCCTTTTTTAGGACTGAACTTAAAATAATTAAGGCAATCTTGAAACCACCAACACAAGCCGATGAGTAGATTTTCTCCTCCTGATTTCAGGCTTGGGTATGAACTTCTTGCTGATAGGATTATTGACTATGTTAGTAAGACTTTCCAAAGTACTGGGTATAAAAATCAGTTATGCTTTTGGAAGACATAATTTAAGGTTGTCACAGCTGCTATAAATCTTTGCATTTTAGACATAAATGAAATAAGTATATAGTATTTTTTTTTTCTTGTGGGTAATGTTATAGAAAAGATTTAATTATAGGAAAGAGGTCTTGTAATAATGCAATTCTGAGTGCAATCCACACCTGTCTGTGTTTGTATTCATTCTCTTGTCTAAAATGTTTGAAATGTGGACATACTTACAGAATAGAATGTATCTATAAGATAGTAGTCTATCTGTCAAGATGTCAAGCTGTCTTTCCCAACACATTTGCTTATTTCATGTTGGCTGCATTGAAGTGGTGGTATAACAATGTACCTGTGATAGGAACCAATATGCTTTGGCACATTTTGAGGATAACAGCTTTCCTGAGAGGGCACCAGCTAATACCAAGGCAGGAAAAAAGCAAGTCTACTGATAAGTGCTTAGCTTTGGTGGAAAGACAATTTAATGGGGAGTAACAGGAATATTAAATGTATTATATTTTGTACTATGTAACATGATTTTCATGCAACGGTTGGGTGGTAACGACATACCTGAACAAATAGCTGGCCAATACTTTTCCCTCTACTTGTCTGACAGTCTGCAGTTCCTGGGTGTAAACAGTACATCAAGCAAGCTGCAGCTGATGCCAACAGGACACTACTGTAGGTATCAAGAGTAACAGAGGGTGGGAAAAAGCAGCTGGGGTTCTTTTTATATCCATATGAGGAATCTGGATAAATTAACGTGAGATTTGCTTCAGGTTAATATACAGACAAATATGAAAAACAAAACAAATCAAAACAAACCCATTCCCCCCACCACTCCCCCCAAAAATCAACCCAAAAAACCAACCAATCCACCCCTAACTTCAAAACAAACAGGAAAGAGGATCATTTTGCATTAGTCTCATGGAACTAGTAGCTTGGAAGGCTGCCATACAAGAAGCAGTGGGGAATTTCTGGGGAGTGTATAACTGGCACAACACTCTGGGCTACCCGCCTCTCTGGACTTTCTTCTGCTAGGGGGCACATTAGAATAGGGGAGAAGATTAGAGGAGGTATTTCCAGATTCCCAGCTGCATTTCATTAAAGGCAATTGGCTTCTGTGAGAACTGGGTATCTCAAAGTGCTGAAAGGAAGTGCCAGAGTGTGATTATTTCACAGCATCCCCCAGGTTACTCCTAAACCCTGAGAGCCCACTGCAAACTGGTACCCACCGTGCTGGGAAGAGCTCCAGGTGGTAAGGACCATCTTCCCTGCAGTTATGAGTCAGACCTGCACTGCCACAGTTCAGTCAGAGCTCACCCTGATGCAGTGCTTCACTTGCCTCATCACTCACACGCTTAAATGTCAAGAGCACAAGTGGGCCAGAATGAGTGGGGCATTGCTCTACCCTGCAGATGAAAGGCCATAAAAAAGATGTAGCTGAGTGCATCCAGACACTGGAGGCCGCAGTGAGGGGACAGGAAACGCTGGTGAAAGCACTAAGACCTAAAAAGCAGTACAGGATGGAAGACTGCCTGAATGGGTGCCTGCATCCCAGGCTGGAGGCAGACTGCCCTCCCAGGCTCCCACTGTCAGGCTGGCTGGCAGCTGCTGACTCAGACCACCAAGCCCCAGCCTGCTGCAGCTGCAGTGCTGCCAGGCAGCCTCACTACCCTGTGCCCTGCAAAAGCAGGAACGCCACACCAGCCTGCCAGCCACGGAAAGCCCCACTGCCACGGACTGTGAGTCAGCACAGCACTGAGGAAGGACCTGCCACGCCACTGCCCCCTTTTTGGCCATCTGCAGCAGGAACCTGATCCAGACCATGGCAATAACCACTGCATTGGCTTTAGAACGGCAAACCCTGCTCCTGCAAGACCACCAGGATATAAAAAGCTGAAAAAAACACAGTGAAAAGATGTCTGAAGGTTGTATGAGCCCTGCACCCTTGGCACACTCTCCCCACAGGGAGAAGAGCAGTTTTTCTGTGATGGTTAACCAAGCTGTAGATACCATACAAGTCTTTCAAAGTCATCATGATATTCCATTACTTAAATCTGAATATTAACATGCGGGGCAACCACTGCATGTGAATAAAATCACACCCTTTCCCTGGCAGCTAAATACCCAAATATGTACTGTGCTTACATATAAATATGTATGTCACCGTATGCCTAATGAATATTTCAAAAACTGTTTGGAATGTATGAGATCTTCCAGGGTTTTTTTTCTCCTTTATAAGCTTTTAATGAACAGTAATTCAGCACTAAAATCAAGCAAAAGCTCACTTTTTTTATTCATCAGTTACAAAATAAAGATACAGAAGGGTACAGACAGCAGGCAGACTCCTAGCTCTGAATTCCACTGTCATTAACACAGATAACCATAGGAGGGACAGCACAAGGTAATACTTGCTCCTGCAACAGTCTCCTCTGGAATGCTGTATCATAGGCAGGTGTATATTCCTTTTAGGAAGCAAACCACTCATGACAGAGCATGTGTGTGGGCGAAGATGATAGATACTCTATCACTTTAATTAGCCTCCTCAAGAAAGGCATATCTGTATCAGGCCTAGCTAAAACTGGGAGCATATTTTATCCTGACAGACACCCCTTTGACTGGCCCAGCCATCTTTGAAGTCACAAGAAGGACTGGGGACTGACTGAAGCTCCTGGTCTGGACTCTTTCATACTGGTGGCTCTGTCACATGATAAGCCCTTGTATCATTTGGGTCTCCAGAAGTTTTCAACACCTTCTGTAGCTGCTGGCATGAAGGTGCAGTGGGTGGTCTGCCCCTCACCTTCTTCTTTCCCTTCAGTGGCTCTTCCGGGGTATCTCAGGAGCAAGGATGCAGCTTGGCACTGTCCCTCTGAGAACGAGGAAGAACTATCCTTCAAGAACCAAAATTCACCTTTGGGGTATCAGCATCCACCACCCTCTCAGATGCCTTCTGGTAAGTGATCTGGCTGGCAGATCCGCACCACTGGTGCTTTGCAAACTATTTTTATGCTCCCAAACTTCACACTTCTTCTGCCTTCATAGACTGTCCTCTGCTACAAGCAATCCTTTCAGCTAGAGTTTCTGATCTTACCAGGGGCCTTCAGAGTCTTGACAGCTGAGGCTGAGCTGAAGCCCTGCTCTGAAAGGAGGACAGCAGCAGGGAGAAGGGGAGAAAGAGAGAATGGATGTGGTGAGCAGTGATTCCAGGAAGGAAGGGTCAGAGGCAATGAGACCTGTCAGGGAGTGAACAGCTCCAAAAAAGCTGCTCTCCTGAGTGGACAGCTACCAAAAATGTCCTCATGTCCTTCCCCTCAATGTCCTGACCCTGTACTGGGTCCTCTGACCCACTCCTCTGGGCTCCCTGTACCCGCTACTCACCTCTGGTTCTGGTCCTTCATCTGCAGCAGAATGGGTTCCACACAGCAAACACTGCTGTCAAGTGATTTTTGGAGGCCGTGGCCCCTTTTACGGTGATTACGCTGCGCTGCAGCTAAGACTGCTGAACTTTTCACCCTTTTGGTTGCACATTCTTACAAATCATGGCACCATCACACTTTTGTATATTGCACAACCCAGGATCCTGACCAAGGGGCTTGCTTGCAGCACCAGGGAAAATAAAAGGAGAAATCAATATTCTAGAGGTTAAAACAGTCCGCAAAGGCCAGACACTCAGCAGCTATAAATCAGTGCAGCAAGATTCACTACAGAAAAGCTTATGTCCGTTTAGTATCTGGCTTGAAAATAATTCAAATAATAAAACTGTAGAAACAAGATGGACAAGAATGATTAGATCATCTTCTCCATCCCTCAGGGCTGGGACGTTAGGCTACACTGAGTGCTTTGTGCTGTGGTCAGTAAAGCTGTAGCTCATTCAGACTCTGCTAAGGCTTTCCACTTCTGTTTTCCTAGTGCTTCTTCTTTGACAAATGTATTTTGAGTGAATAATTTATGCTTGGGATATTTAAAGAACAGAAACCTAAATCCTCTATTTACAGAACTGAAGCAGTGCTGGCCTAGAAGAAAACAGCTGCAACACCTCATTTCCCACTGCCTCTTCTCTGCTGACCTGCTCAGGACCTTCAACCCAGCCCAGGAAAAGCATCCTCTCCAGAGGAAGCAGTTATTGGAAGAGCAGCCAAAATAATTCATAAATGACCATGCTAAAAATGGTTTACTTAAGATGTTAAGAGTCCAGGTGTGCTACAATTTGGTTCCTTGAATGTTCTATAACAAAGATGAAAGACATGCCATATCCTCAAAAAAAAAGATCAGAACTGTTCCTGGTAATTTCACATTACCAATTCCTGCAGCTCCAGCCTTCCCTCTCTTTTGAGCACAGAATCCAAATTATGCTGTCTGATGCCATCTGGTGAATCCACAGGGGATGAGTAAACAATACCAAACTGATTTCCCTATACCAAGGGAACTTGGCTTGCATTCACATTCCCTTGGAGATAAATCATTATTATTCTGATTGCTAAGGCAGATTCCACTAAGAGCAGAAGGAAAGTGATAAAGAGACCTCCTTTTGCAGCAAGAACGCAGTGGAGATCATGGAGACAAGCTGCAATAATAAAAGCAACTGAACTGATAGGGGCTGCTCTTTTGATGTTCTGGTGAATTGCAAGTCTTGATTTAAGCAAATAGGTCTGCATTTGCTCTGCAGATAAGCAAGGGAAAAAAAGTGTGGGTGAAAAATCTACTGATTTTTAATAAGGGTAGGCAATCTGAAGTGCATTGCATTCTTGGTTAAATTGTCACATAGTAAAAAAAAAAAAAAGAAGAAATCAGAGAAACTTGAAAACTGGGTGCAGTAAATCTAGAAATGTGTAACATAGGGGAGGGGGATTTCACTCAACACATATTAAAATTACTTCCTTTTGTAATTAGACCTCATTAGATTAATGGTTTACAATCTACCAAAACTGTGCAACAACTTTATGGTAAGAAAGTGCTAGAGAGAATTTTGGTCCTGCAAAGACCTAGAAGTACATGAAAATAGGCATGTCCATAGGTGTCCCATCATGTAATTGGGCAGCTGTGTAGTTTTCAGAAAGAGACTCAAAGAAAGAGAGTTTTCAGACAGATTTTGGGCCAGTCCTAGTAGAGGCAATGGAGACTAAAGGATGACGAAAGAACCAGAGTTCTTTGTACCTTACACGTTTTCAGGTGAGGTCACATCTGATTTTTACTCACACCTGGTTTAAGCCATTACTGCAGTGCTATGGGGTGAGTTTCCTTCCCAGAGCCTGTTGCAGACTTCCCAACACCACTTGATTCATGGGTTTATTTCTGTCCTTATCAACTGCATCATCCTGACAGATGCATCCATGCTGGCCAAGTCTGAGGGCAGCCCCACACCTGAGCAGCTGCATCTCCCAGCAAGGCCAGCACATCCCAGAGTGCTCAGAAACATGGGCACACAGAAGAGCTCTCCACAGGACAAACCCCATGTAGGATACATCCCAACAGTTGCACATCACTGTCCTTGCTCCCAGCGTGTACAAGAGCACTTCTTCAGGACGGCTGCCCAAAGCAGCAGATGACAGATTGCTGCTTAGCACAGTGGTCTGCTGTCAGGAGAAAGGTTGTCGTGAATGTCCTACTTAGGGGGTGAAAAATGCACCATCTATAGATTCAGGAGCTGTATGAGTCATTATGGCAGATGTAGAAGGGAAAAAAAAAAAAAAATAGTGTCCCTTAAACTTATTGCCATATCATGGGGACAGTAAGGAGAAAAGAAAAAAAATAAAGTCACAATGCAATTTAGGGACAATGCAAGCATCTACAGGATGACTCTGGGGAGAAAAGACAACTAAAATCCACAAGAGCAAACTCCAGTCTGTTGTGGGGGTAGCAACTAAACTGTTGGGAAAGAGATATTTCCTCAGTGTACGAAAACAGTTTTTCATCTAACCCAGTTGAGATAATAGTAATAACATGAAGGAGGAAAAAAACCAGTTTCAAGTAGAAATGAAGAATATCCTATAGAGAACAGCAGGGCTAACATCCAGGGACTAAAAGAAAAGTGAATGTACTGAATCACCCAGCTAGCAGACACAAGGGAAATAAAAAGGACCCCCAATCCTCCCTCTGCCACTCACTTGCATCTCAAGTGGTGGCAGAGAGGGAATCAGTGAAGTCAGGCAGGGTGTCTGAGCTGCTGCCTTGGAGAGGGATGGGACAAAGAGGGATCAGGCTCCCATAGGGAGCTGCTGCAGGCAGGGATTTGGCAGCCTGTCCAGACAGGTCCTGCGAAGGGAGAGAGTTTTTCTGTTTCACTCTGGTTTTTGTTTGTTTTTAAACACCATCAGTATTTCCCAGTGTTTATACTCATGTTTGCACTCATTAGCAGCAGTTAATGCACCATCTTTGCCGTGATATTTGTGGATTCATAACGCATGGGTACAGCAGAAACTTCCTCAGCCGCAGGGTGTTTGGTTTGTGCAATTCGTTTCAGGAAATCTCTCTGGATTTTCCCAGGTTTTGTACAGAGTTAGTTTTATTGATGGCTGTGTCTTCAGTTCAAACCCGTCTTTGCTTTTGATATGTTCTCATGGCTCCGCTCCATAACACTCAAAGGGCAGCTGGGAAACAAAAGGAACCTGTGAGATCAAAAAGCTTCCAGCTAGTATGTGACCTACACCTGTGACAGGCTTACCTTGAGAAAAAAATCTGCATCTGATTTTTTTTTTTTTTCAGGAGAATGAAGTGTTAAGGATGTAACATGTATCTGTATATGTATATACAGATGTAGGTGTATACATATATGCATAATTTTTTCTTCCTTGCAATTTGACAGCCTTATTCTTCTAACAGTTCTTCCAAATAGAAGAACTCATGTGTTAGCTAGGTGTCATTGACTCTGGGCCTCACCGTGACCCGTTAAAATCATCCTAAGCATAACTATCTTTGCCAATTCTTGTGGATTTACATCTGGTTATCTGGTAGGTCCTGTTTTCTTTTTTCATTTTAGTCAAAACACAACTGATACTGAGCCGATACTTCCTGTAATACCGTGTTTCACCACCCCTCCTCCTCAACGTGGTGTTTATATACCTAGGGAGGCTTTTCAGTTAATTCTTCCAAAACGAGAACGAGCGCGGCCCACGCTTTTGCCAAGCTTCTGCCGGTGCGGTCTGTCTGGCTGCACAAGAGAGGCAGGCTGCGAGCACAGATCCATCGGAGGCCAGCAGGCCCCGGCAGCTGGTGCCGCGGTGTCCC